CTGTGATAACTCCTGCTCAAAGGATAATACTTTTACACATTAATCGGCTGGATCTGGAACCACCGAGGACTGCACGACCCAGAAGAAATTGAAATGCAGAGTTTGTGTATCAGCTCATCTTCACGATACACGCCCAGTACTCCCACAGACGGTCAGACGTAGTACTTCACCAAGTATGTATATATATATATAAGTGAAATAAGATTTAACAAAATTAGAGCTGTTGAAATTAATGATTTAAACCAGGTGAAACTGATCGGTGAAATTCTTTTATCTAATAATAATCCCACCGTCCGTCCAACTTCGACCCAGACCGTGTCATTTACACACGCTGTGGGGAAAAAAAGGTTTTTGGTTCGACTCCAGCTGCCTCACCTTCTTCAGGTGAAATGGCTTCAACCTCAGACACGACACCCGACCGGTGTCCGACCACGGTTCATATATTCTCTGACATTTCTCTCGTTGATAATTCCATCCTAAAGAACAGCAGTTTTTGTCTTTCTGTTCCATCAACGTACAGAAAGAAACTTTTTTTTTTCCCCACATAAGTGAAAACGACACAAAGTTTATTTCTGAATCCTTTCTTTCACATCTGAACTCCTAATTATAGTGTAACCGCCGTGCCGCCAAAAGTCTCCGCTGCAAACTTTCTTCAGAAGTGAGTCATCAAATAAAATCATCTTCAGATTGCTTTACGGTCGGTGCTAAAGCCGCAGCTGTCGTCAGCCGCGCAAAGTCAAGGTTTTTATCAGCGACTTGTTGGCGAGGACGGGGAGTTTGTGACGTGTACGTAAACACTAACAACCAGCAGCTGCTGCTGCGGCGTCCGGTCTTAAATTCAGCAGTTTTCACTTTAACAGTTAAAGGTTTGATGTTTGTTCGCGGCTTCACGGGAAACAAATTGCCTCTTTTCTCAGGCTGTGAACGCAGCCACTCATTCATGTTAATATTTGCATTCCTTTTCATCAGCCCCCTCTCACCCCCCCCTTCTGTTTTTTTTCTGTTTTATTTTCCCTCCCATCTGTCAGGCTAAGTTTATCCTCGTACACATTCTTTCTTCTTTCATTTTAAAAACAAACATTTCCAAGTTCTCCCCCCGGTGATGGCTGTAATTTGGCTTTCGTTCGCTCTTATCCTCCAGACAGTATTTAGTTGCTTTTATAGCACAGTTGCCAATGTGCGTACGAACGTCTGTCCCTGAAATTGAAGAGAGAGAGTTTTCTTAGCACAATGAGGGGCGGGGGAGTGGGAGTGGTGGGGGGGAGCGGGGGTGTAGGCATGTCGCTGTTGTGTCTTTTACCTGAAAGTGTCTTCGACTGAGCAGTAATTGAAAGACAGGAAATTGGATAATGATCATTATTTGTGTTAAATTCAAAAGAGCGGGTCAAGAAGAGCGGGAGCGCCGGGTCCACGGGTTTTTATCTGCTTCTGTTTGTCTGACTAATTAAATCAGAGGAGTGAGTGAAGTTCTCCGCGGCTCAGCACCTTATCTTGTTTCCCCTTTAATCAGGTGGCTATTAAAACTCTGATTACACCGCCGGCCGTCTGACTCCAGCTCAGCTTTCAAACCGCACACACACCAGCTGTTATTCTAAAGTTGATCTGATTTTGTCAAGATCAAAAATAAAAAAAAAGGAATAATTATATGAGCTTATTAATTAAAATCTGGTGAATTAAAAAAAATTTAAATCGACTTTTATTCCCGGTGTCGACAGACTTGACTTCGAGACACTTTTCTCTACGATCTGTTATGAAAAAACAACAAAGTTAAATTTGAGGCAGAAAAAATATTTTCATAAATGGTTTCGATATTGAACTGACATTTTTAATTTGAGTGATTTTTTTTATTATTTTTGCTGCTGAGTTGTTTTCTTCCTCCGTGAGCTGCCGGTGTCAGATGACCTTCATCAAGGTCGTCTCAGTTTCCTCATCTGCGCCCCCTAGAGGAGTAAATGAACCGACCTGTTAAAAACTCTGCTGCCTCTGAACTCCAGCCCAGTAAAAGTTCTGTTTTCAGTCTCAGGGACTCAAACCCTAAACTTTAAACCTTCTAACGCAGCTCATTTGTTCAGTTATAAATGTATAAATAACCTGAAAACTAATTGAAAACATTATATGTATATAAACCTGGGAGTTTTATTAGTCTCACAACTCAAATTTAATCACTATATAAAGAAGTTTTCAGAACCAATCAAAACCTTCAACGGCTTCAAATTAAACAGAGATTATTTACCACTTCCTGTCGTCTGATGGTTTAGGAACAAGAATAAAACACTTTGGTTCATGAAACAATCAAACTCCAAAAGAAAAATCCCCAAAAAAGTCCCATTCACAGTCACCGGCCTCACCGTCAGGTCTTTGTTGTCTTGTTAATTTAATCGGTTGATTATATTGTTGTTGTTGTTGTTGTTGTTGTTGTTGTTGTTGTATACACTACAGCTTTTATTCTGAAAAGCTCATCAAAAGGGACTGAATTTTCCAGTTAGTGATTTTGTTGGTAAAACATCGTGGTTCTGTCTTTTTAAACTTTGTCCAAACGACATCTTTATATAAATAAATAAAATAAATAAAACGTTTTTGACGGAGACTTTTATTGTGAAGTGTTCCAGGCTAACTTAGCCATGCTAACTCTGCCTGTATATAATTCAGTGTCCTGTTGTCTCCTCTGGTTTCCTTCCAGCTCCTGTCATCCTAAATGAGTTGAACTGGACTCAGGCCCTGGAGAGGGTCTTCATCGAGAACCGCCGCGAGGACAGCTCTCTGCGTTGGCAGGTGTTTGGCAGCGCCACGGGAGTGACGCGGTACTACCCAGGTACACGCTACAGGTCACGCCGTGAACACCGTCAACAGTCTGGCTACGATAACGTCCAGTGTGACCCTGGGCTCCTCATTGGCCGTCTCTTATCAGATGGTTTTACTGGAAGCTCAGAAAAATGAAGCCATGATTGCTTTGATCTAATCTGATCAGAAAATATCCCGCAGTAAACTCCTCGACTAATAACCTGTTTTTTTCCCGCTCCTCAGCCACTCCGTGGAGGGCGCCCAACAAGATCGACCTGTACGACGTGCGCAGGAGGCCGTGGTGAGTACCAACGTGGGGTTGAGTCATGGTGCTCAAGCTGTGGGTCAGTGTTGAAACGGTTCGTTGTCTCACTACAAAATGGACAGAGGAGAGTTGAACACCAGGTGAGGGCAGCAGAGAGTCCGGGGGGGGGCAGGGGGGGGGGGGGCT